AAGTAAGTCGGTGTGGATATCTCGAACCCCGTGATGAGGTCGCTAACTGGCAGCGGCCGAAAGGGAGTGGTACTGGAGTGATACGAAACCTGTGACGGATATGCGGGCTCAGGAGACTATAGTGCGAAAGTAACAGTAGAGGGATAGTAAGGTGCAGTATATGAGTGGGAGTGGTACTGGAGTGATACGAAACCTGTGACAGATATGCGGGCTCAGGAGACTACTAGCCCCACCCCGCCTAGTGCCTCCCCTCATGGAGGTCCCCCTCTCAGCGCTCAGGTACCGTTGAGTGTTTCCCGGCTGATAGAGGAACCCTCAGAGGGGGAGGCGGAAGGAGGATGGTGGCGCTAGCAGTACCCCCTTGACGGCGTCTGGAGCCGCAAGGGCAAGGCCTTTCTCTTCCTCTTGCCTTCTCCTCCCCTGTCTTTCCCTCATGCTTGCCGGTGATAAGCAACCGGACTGCTGCCCCCCAGAATAGACGGGGCCGTGTTTTGGAAAAAAAAAAAAAAAAAGAAACTACAGTCTTCCGCCGAACACAACGCACCATCATTTTGACTGTATCTGGCCGGAAATACAACGTGTATGCATTCATTTTTAGGGTGCGTGATGTTCGGGGGAAGACGGTAGTCGGCGATCGCCAGCTCCTTCGTCTCCTGCGGGTGTTTCATTCTATTCTGTTCTGGCGAGGAGGACAGCCCGTGTTTTCGAATACAACGCGAGTGCGTTCTATTCGGATTTTCGAAGTTTTTGAAAACTCGAATGCAGCGCATGTGCGTTATGTTCGGGGGGAACACCGTACCACTTTCCTCAAATGTATATGACCGCGATTACGACCACGATTACGACCAGGCCTGGATGTACCTGACTGCAATCGCGTTCATTCTATTCTGCCGAGGAGGACAGCCGCGCGCGTGCTGGGCCATAGCTAAGGCTAGGGGATGTGCTTCATGATTTATTCTTCGATTTTTTTTATTTTTATTTTTGGAGATGTTATGTTCCCATGAGGGCTGCGCAGACGAGGCTATGTGTCGAGCTTCCGGTCGGTCTGTGGATATCTCGACTGACC